TCATTTATTTCGAGTGTCTAGTTGACTCTCTACTTACAAGTGCTTATAACACTCAATCATGATTTACTACAAAGATCAGATATCCGAAGTAAACACCCAATTTATTTTTTATTGATCTTATCATTTACCTCTTCACCTTGGGCTTTTTTTTTGTGTTCTCATTTGAAATTTCCGGAATTGATGATGTATAGTTTTGTCAAAAAATGTTCCATACAAACCTACTACAAGCCATTTATAAACTGCAGTAGTGTTCGACTGATACTTCAAAAAAGAGGCAGATACAGAGGCAAATACCTTGGAATGAAGTCATTAAGTGTCAATTTGAGTTGCGAAACAAGCGGTAACTAAACAACTAGAGATTAACAAAAGATTAGTGAAGTATGTGATAATATCTTTCACTTTTATATGCTCCAGAATTTATATGGCTGATGCTACGTCAATTTCGTTTGATAAATTACAAGCATCAATGTTGTTCAGGAGAGAGAGGAGAAAAAACAAGGAGAAAACAGGTAAATTAGTCATTTTTTTTACTGTGGTTCAGAAATGAATTCCACTCTGATATTACCAAGCTCCAGTAGGACTTATTTTCGCACGAATTACCACATGCACCGCTGTAGGAAGTAAGATGCAGAAAGGTTTGTTAGGATATTTTTAATTGTGAAATTACCTGTTGGCTATATTTGGCCATAAAACAGAGGTTTTTTCTTGTTTTATGTAAACTCTCAAAAGCATCTTATCTGCTGTATCAATTTTAAACTTTATAAAGGTAGTTTTCATTTTTGTGCAGCAAACTTTATCCGACTCATCTTTTTATTCTGGTCGAAAGCAAAAAATGGATGTTCTTATTGTTTTCTTGAAAGCTGTCTGCAACATGAAATGCTACTGCTGTTAGCGATAGGTTACGTATTCGTTTCATTTAATTATCACGTAACAAACACTAATTAGAACTTACTTGAACAAGTCTCTGAACCATTTTTATCTGAAGCATCTAATATGCATTTATTTTTTACACACTCATGCAAAAAAAAGATATTTACATAAAATTTTATATAATACTGAAGGAAATTATCAACGTTTGAGAGCCAGGAAAATTATTACCTTCAACACATTCTTATCACATGATAAAAGCTACTGAAATCCAGTTGCCGTTTACTGAAACTTTCAGTTATTTTTTTCATGTCACTTTCAGCAGTAATAAAAGGAAGACAAAAAGATTTGAAGCTTATTCAAAAACTTTAAGCTTCCTGTCTTGATTTAAAACACTTCATTACGAGTTGTTAGTAATGTATCAGCCTTTCGTCATTGTCTCGCTGGGGTATTGTCATTTCACAGTTGTTTCAAAGTCTCTTGTGAAGCTGAAGCTGTGCATTTTTCTTCATAACTTGAGGCTTTGATGATCCATCGACAGGCCTACGAAAACTGTTGAATTTCAAAGTTTTGTTTTTAGTTATCCACAACCTCAACGGGTGTTTAGTAGCGTTGTTTCCAACCAACATTTTCCAGTTGGAAGAGGTCCTTCTGAATCTTGTACACTGTATGTCTTGTCTTTTGGATGGTATAAAGCGTGGTGTTCCATTTTTTTTTCCCCATTTTGGTGTTCCATTTCTTCCCTGTCAAAATGACACAAGAGTACTTTACATAAAAAAAAAAAAAAAAAGCTACTCTAAATCTGTATCAGAACTGTCGTGACCTCCAGTTTCGTCTTCGTCCAAACCAGCATTACGTAACTAAGATGAATAATTCGTTTAAAAGTTTACAAAGCTTTATCTGAGCATTTGTATTCTTTTTCCTTTCTCCCACCTCCTGTCCTCGGCTCTGACCGGAAAACCCAACACCGAAATACTCTGTTTCGACGACGACAATCTCTAATGTGTTCAGCAATGTGTAACTTGTAATATATGAGAAGAAATAGCTGATTTCTATGTCTTCTAATTCAACAAAGATTAAAAAAAAATTACAGGTAAATTTGTGATTGTATAAATGAAGAGGAAGTAGCTGAAACAGTTGATTACCAAAAAACTGTATCAGTTTTCATAAGGGAATTAAATTTTTCCTTGTGAATATCTTTACAGAAAAATTAAAATCTTATTACATTTTATAAAATATTTGTGACAGATATGAAGGTGGAACTATTTTTTAATTGATAGCAAATCTTCAGTGTTTCCCTTATCTTATTATCTCAAATCATTCACTATTCGGTTTTTCCACTTTCAGCGGTGATGGGCAGTAATCTTTTGTCAGCTAAATAGTAGCAGCAAAAATTACGTTATACAGTAAGTAAAAAAGTATTCTATAAGTGTAGTATTTTTTTATTTCTATCTTTTTTTTCAATTTTTTTAGCCTTTTTTTCTTCTTTGAAACTAAAGCCACTTATGAAATGACTTTATAGTTTCGTGGTTCGTGAACCGTATATCGACAGCTTCAATGGTGTAAAATTTCTCATCATTTTTAAGGAACTTTTCTGAATTTAAAATAAAATTTTTTTAAAATGATATCTCTACCAAAAACCTTCTTTTTTAATACAAAAAAAAAACTTTTTTTATTTGCAAATAATTTATATACTCACATAAACACACACACACACACAAAAAAAAGTAAAAAATCGCAGTTTACCAATCACATCAATTTCTCACTGCAAATTGTTTCTCACTGATACTGGTTGCATATTCGTGTTATATAAGAGGCAAATAATGATGGGAAGATAATAACGAAGCTAAAGAATAAGAAAAGAAAAATGAGTGGAAAAAGACAGAACAGAGCAGAAATACAAATAACAACAATGGAAATGAATAGATTTTTTTACTGAAAAAAACTGCATAAAAGGTTAATAAATAGAAATATTTTTGTGGCCGAAAGTTTGTCAAATGGTACTCGACCAGTTCCTTAAACGAAATAATCACTGGGTAAACAAACATCAATTATCGGGGCGATCAAATCGGAGAGCATCTGTGAAGTTTGTCGATGTTGGCTTTACTTACGGTTTGTTCTGATGACAATGGTCATCGCCAGCTGTTTGTCGTTGGGGTTATCCACTCCTGATCCGCTTTCTTCAAACTAACCTTTTTTTTATCAGCGAAACTTAATCATCAATAAAACTTAACAGTAATTACTAAAAGCCAATTTTTTTCTGTTTCATTTGAACGCTACTTTTCTTGACAAATTTTCTATGAGCTATCATATGGCACTATTTTCACGTCACGGTAAGTGAAAATAACTGTTTTTACACAATGGGATGATATGGTATCAGGAGAAGATCAAAGATCAGCTGATCCTATTAACCAATCCTTCTTGGGTTGCTATAGAGATTTGACTGTAGAGAAGCGACTTGAATTTTGCTGGACATAACTTTGATGAGAACTTTTTCTTTATTTTCAGACAACCAAAAACAATGAAGGTATTATCACTAAAGGCTTAGTGCTGCTTCATCTTTGAACCCATATATTTGTCCGTTGTCAATTGCTTCAGCAAATATTGAACATTGACCTGTTTCTTTTCAGCAATTTTTTTCAGCATTCCTTATTAGAATGCTATTTCAATCACCAATTTTAGGCGTTTATTTTTACCTATTTCTCGCATTCATTTTGCAACCAATAAATTCCAGTAGCGTTTTTGAAGGCAGGTTAGAATTACTTTTTTTAAACTGTTTTTTAGTGCAGCTTGGCAAATAAAGTGATGATTTGTTAATTATAAAAAGAAAAATTAACCAAAAAATAATAGAAAATTAAAAAAGAAAACATTATCTTTCTTTTTAGTATTTTCTTTTAATTTTTATTTTTTTTCTTGTTTAACTTTGATAACTTTTCACAAGTATTTGCTAATACTTTAATGTTTCTATGTTTGTTTATATCTTCTCAAAATTTTCAAAACTTTTATTTGTTTGTTTATTTATTTACTAATTTTTTTTTTTGAGTATGTGTTAATTACATTCAAGTTTTCAAAATCTTATTTCTTTTCAGTATTTAACATTTTTCTTATAAAAGTCGTTAGCAACATGTCAAAAGCAACACAGAAAATTTGTTCACTGAAAATAAGCACTTTTTTACATCTCAAAAGCAAAAGCTCTCTTAATTTTTTTCTGTTTCTGTTTTACGAATCTGCTAACAAATAGAACTTTAATACAATGGTTTTGACAACTTCGCTTAACAGTGCAAAGTATTTTAATTTTAGTGGAATTATCAAAAACCATTTACTTTTTTGGTTAATAACTATAATGTCATAAATTCACAGTAATTTTTAGTGATAGTCTTCTAAAGCTGATAAGTCAATTTCAAAAGCACTCCTTATTCAATATCTCAAAACTTGGCCAATATCAAATCCCGTTTTTAGCAGCTTCAGGTTTGACTTTGAATAAACAATTCTGTAGTTTTTTTTCGTATGATTACCGCAAATTTTTTTATAACTTTTGTTTATACTGTTAAGTTTTCCAGTATTTTGAAGGTTAAATCAATTACCAAAGCTGAAACTTTTATGTCTTTTATAATGAACTAATTTAATAGCCATATTAGGCCATTTTTTGCTCTTAGTCGGTCACCTCTACAAAACTGTTTTTTTCCAAACTTATTAAGTAATTGAAATTTAGGCCCACTGCTTATCGGTGAACAATGTTCAGACAATAATGAATGTATCAGCGGTGCAGTTTGTGAGAATAATATTTGCCTGTGTAAACCAAATCGAATTCCTATCAATGGTTATTGCTGGAGAAGTATAGCATAAATTTATTAAATATATTCTTTTACAACAGCTGTAGTTAGCTGTCGGTTCTTAATATGTTCCACGTATCATACAGGATTATAAAACACTTTCTTTTTTATAAAGTTTATAGTTATCAGACGCTCTTAATTGAATTAAACCTTAAGCATGTTTTGCAAAAATAAGTGTTCTACATATACAGTCATTTAGAGTTTGAACCAAATCAACAAGGTTGCACCTATGATGTTCAGTGTGAAGCAGCATGGCCAGGATCCAAATGTATTTCTTCATTATGTCACTGCCCTGATGGTATGGTAGCGACAGAAACAAGGGAAGGAACAGTGTGTCATTTTGTTGGTTTGTTTCTCGCCTATAATTCGATCAGATACTCACAAATTATTTTTTGATTTACTATTTACTACTTTTTTAAAACGATAGAAAAGCTCCGTAATTGACGCATAGTTAATATTCAGGACAGTGTCCAACTAATGGCGAGAATCCTTTATTATACTTGCATAATACCGACATCTTGGCACGATGCTTCCCTAAAAATGACAGAAATGAAAAAGATACGGCAGTTTTTAAAGGATGTGATGATCTCGATGATATGTATGATTGCCTAGCTGGTGTGTGTTGCCCGACAAGAGGTGAAGATTTCCGTTTTTATACTATTAGTTTAAATTGCATTTTTCGGCAAAAGTTTATGAACTTTATAAAGTTGATATTTCGACCCTTATTGCTCAATCGTCTGAAAAGCTAGTTCATAAAATAACTATTTTATTTCATTCTAGCTTTCACCTGTGTTCAACCGCTTGAATTGGGTGATATAGCAGAAACTGCTGAATCAGTTGAAAGATGGTATTACGACTCCACTGTTGATGATTGTAAGAAATTCAATTTTACTGGTCGTGGCGGTAATGCTAATAATTTTATTAGCCAAACACAGTGCCAATCTTACTGTAGAAACCGTAAGTTTTTAATGAGTGGTTAGCATTTGATGCTTATCAACTCATACCGATTTCATGCAATAAAAACGAAATAAATTAGGATGTAGACGAGGAAATCCGCAACGAAGATTTCTAGAAACCGAAGACGCAGTGGTTAAGAACACAGAAAATATTTGTGAAAGAGGAGAGGAAAATTGCCATGATACTTCAGACTGCCTTACCACTGAAAATGGTTTCTTTTGCTGCCCACCACCAAGTAATTATTATTCTAAAGTTATTGTTTATCAGCACTTCTGTTCTTTAAGATGTTAATTTTTTTAGAAAATATATGCAACGGTTCCTTTAAGAACGGTAGCTCGGGTAATGTTAGTTCTTCATCACTGCCATATTCGGTGGGAACAAGGCGATTAGGACAGAAGTCTTATCTAAGGTTTTTTGTTAAAACTTAATGTAAAAAAATACAAATGGGATTTTTTACGTAACTATGATTTGAACAAAGTAAATGGTAAAGATAATTAAATATATTTAATGTTTGAAGCCATTTAGAAGTTAGTTCTTTTTTAATTTTTTAAAATTTCTACTGAAGCTGTGTTTAGGTTACCATTTACAGAAGTAAAATTTACTGCAGGTGGTACTGGGATAAAAACGAGAAACGATGTATGACTTTCCAGTACCTAGGACAAGGAGGAAACTTCAATAATTTTTTGACGGAAGAACAATGTATCAAGTTTTGTCACAAAGGTATATATTTTTTTGGAGGAAAAAAACTACTAGAATAATTGAAATATTTTTAAATTTGAAATACAGATTTATTAAAGAAAGCCAAGTTTTACAGCTGTATGCCCGATAGGAACAGCTTTACGTTATCGGCAAGAAAGTTGGGTAGAATGCGCTGAAAGTGCTCAATGCCCAGTTACACATTACTGCTATATGTCTCGTTGTTGTCCTACGGCATGTAGGTCAATCTTTAAGGAATGAATTCTAGTACATAATTATTTAAACTCAAAAGAAAAAAAAAGAACTGAAGAAAATTTTTAAAACTTTTAGTTTTTCACAAATTTAATGTTCTAATATTTGTTTTAAATAAATATACTTTTTTAAAGCATGAAATGTTTTGAAAAGAGAATATTGAATGACAACACTGTTTTGAGGGAGTAAAATAATGTTCGTACAATGACCAAATGATCATTTTTAGCAACAATATGTACACAGCCTTTATTAAATAGTAACAGTTGCAACGGAGAAACTTCTGTACGATATTGGTTCAATGTATCATCAAGCCTGTGCGAACCGTTTCTCTTTGCTGATTGTCAACAAAATGATAACAGTTTTGCAACTGTAGAATCTTGCCAAGAATTTTGTGGTGTAACAGAACCTGGTCTGTTTACACTTACAGTATCGATAACACCAATCACCCAAAAGTATTTGCAAACTGCAGAACACATTTAAATTTTATCTATGTCTTAAAATTTTTTTCTTTGCTTTATTGTACTTTGATCGTAGTACAGAACCGAAGTGTCCATATGGTGAACCGTTGCGCACTTCATCTGGTACGGTATGGAAATGCGGCAGTACACTTAGTTTATTCATGGGCGTGGAAAACGATGCTGATGGAGAATGTCCACCAAATTACGAGTGTTACTTTGATGGTCATTTGTATGGTTGCTGTCAAATAAAATGTACAAAATTTTTTTTTGTCTGGATACAGTGTTAAAAGTTATCTCTAAATAATAATTCTAATACTGTAGATAAATTACACTTTTAGACTGCCCATCTAATGGTGATGCACTTAGAGATGAAAATGGTCAAGTAGTTCATTGTGAAGGCGAAAATGATTTTCATACGTGTCCAGATACTCATCGCTGTACAGAATTGGTAAGGAGTCGTTTAATTTCTCTAAGTTTTAGGAATACCCTGCCGTGCTTTTAGGGCTTTGGTGACAATGCTAAAGTTTCGTACTGTTGCCCACTTAAAGGTACCTTATGTTCTCTGCCAATTGAAAAAGGTCATAACTGTACGAGTAGTGAAATAAGGTTTGGTTTCGATTCTGAATTAGGAGTTTGTAAATCATTCCAATACGGAGGTTGCTCAGGCAACGCAAACAACTTTCTCTCACTGCAGTTTTGTATCAAATTTTGTTATTCAGCAGGTTAGTCAGTTTTTATAGTTAGTACTTGATTGACATTTATAATGTTCTTGAGTGTCGTATAAGACGGTTAGTAGAATTTATAGTACTGCTTTAATCTTTTATTTTTTTAGTTTTCAAATTTTCTTCAGTTTTGAAGATAAGTACTTTTTAGTGTGTGCACCTATGGAGGTTGTCTACATAGCACTTAATTCAACCACCGCTTTTAACTGCGAGAAGGCAACGTGTCCCGAAGGTTACGTTTGTGTCAAGAATGAAATGACAAGGCAAAGTGTTTGTTGCGGCTTACCTACTCAAGGTTAATCACTTTTTACACTTTTTTATCTGTGTACTGCTATCATCATTTTTCATTCTTTTACCTGTTTTCAGATGTTTGTCCGGGAAAAATGGTTCCTTTCGTTGGCTACTACGACGTCAGTCTACGAACTTGCGACCCGTCATTACTAAACTCGTGCGCGGCTGGATTTCAGTGTTTGGTAAACGAAGGCAAAAGTCAACATTATTGTTGCAGACAAAAGAAGCCTAATGGTAGCTCTTAGTCAAAACGTTTAGTTTTATACCTATTTATTTGTTTTTAAATTTGTTTAAAATTAAGGTTTGTGTTCTGAGGGTTCACAACTTGCCATAAATCCACTCACCGGTGATCCAATGGGTTGCAATTCAGATGGGAACTGCAATTCGCTTGATAAATGTTTTGGCAGTGATGAGCTTACTTCTGGCTTTTGTTGCACTAGAAAGAATATTGGTAAGATTTACCAATTGTACGCTTGCTTTAATTACAACAAATTTTTGGATATTATATAAAGCTGATGGCATATTAACTCAGTACTATTTTAGAAACTTTTATTACACTGGTTTAATTTCTGTTGGTCGCATCAATTTTCTTAATTAAGACTTTTGATTTTTAAACCAATTTTTTGGTTTTTTTAGCTTGTCCAGCATCGTTTGAACTGGACGAAAAGCGAACAAATGCTGGCGAATGCACGCCGTTAATTACAACAAGCTGTTCAACAAATCATCAATCTATTTGTCTTTACAGTAGTGCTTTATCAAGATTTGTTTGTTGCAGAAGGGAGTCGCGTTCTCCTACAACTTTAGCGCGATGCCCTTCACGCACTGTTCAAGGTTGAGCTTGAAATTTTTAATTTTTGATCAGTACAAAGGAAGATATTAGTTACTCTGAAGTTCAGAAGATATGATAACTGTTAGCAGTTTTACAGATCCCAATCGAAGATTCTGCTCGGTAGGAGTCAGCTGCCCATTACCATATCTTTGCGTTCGCCCTAACAGCGACCACGTTGGTATCTGCTGCAAACCAAACGTACCAGTTGCTCCACGGCTCGTAACAAAACGTAATTTTCAATTCCAATATATTGTTCTACGGGCTCTTCTCGAATTTTCAGCTTATAGAGTTTTAGTAGGCTGTAGAAGGGGTTCTCGACCACTCTATGATGTCAGTACGGGTGATGTCCAAATATGTAGTGAACGACGACCATGTCCAGCTCCATATCGTGTTAGACAAAACATTATTTAGTTTTTCTGAAACACGTTCATTTTACAGTCTAGAAAAAATACAAAAGTTAATTATCTTTTGTTTCGGTTTTTTACCATCAGTAACATTAATGTCTTTTTCAAGACTTTTTTGTTATTACTCTTAGCAGGATTGGAAAATCAGAAGTGAAATACTTTATGTTTTTAATCCTGTAAAGTAAAAGTGTAACTTTTAGTATTTTTTAGCGTTTAAAGTCTAAAAAAAATTTCTTTTGCTCAGTTTGTAGTGTGGACCTAATTTTGCATCAATTGGATCTATAATAAACATTTGTTGTCACGAGACAGAAGTACGATGTGCTTCTGGTGCAACACCTTTTTCAAAGAATGGTTTACTAACAACATGCCCGACAAATGAATGTCCATTTGGATACGTTTGTGAGCAGTCCGTGTGTTGTCCAGAAAAAGGTTTTTTAAAGTTCTTAACTTCATTGGAAATAGACTCTTGAAGAAAATTAGCATGAATTGAAAGTGGTTTTTAGCAGCATGAGAAGCAAAAAAGTTTACAGATTTTTTTTATTCTGGAAACAGTTGAATAATTTTTTCAGGAGTAGCATGTACTGGAACATTATCCAAAGGTATTCGATGCAAAGGCCATTTAACCAGCCGTCGCTGGTTTTTTGACACAGTATCGTCTAAATGTGTTATCTTCCAATATAGCGGTTGTAACCCAGGAGCCAACAACTTTTTCGATCGTTATGACTGTGAAAAATACTGCAGTGATTCTCGCAAAGATAAAGGTATGCTGATGTTTTCTGGTGTTTTCCGTAAATCTTGTTTTATCTATGTTAAGCTATTGTGAAAACTATGGAAAACTAACACTGACAAGTAAAGTTGAATGCGTTTGGGTTTATCAGTAGAAAGGCTTTAGAAAATTCTTGTCCTCCGCCATATGAGAAGCCAGAACACAAGCTGCAGAGATGCAATCCATTTTCGGGTGGTTGCCAAGGTACGCTTTACTCTTTAAAAAAACTACGAGTATCTCTGATTATTAATTTAATCTAAAGCGTATATGTATTCTTCTTCTCTGTTCAAGAGTTATTTTTTTACGTTTACGTAATCGTATAACGATAAGAGAAAGAAGTATTTATTTCAGAGAACGAAAAATGTGTTTTGACGCTGTCACGGCAATACCTTTGCTGTTCTGTACCCCGCGTTGACTCGCTCCAGTCTTTGATTGCGCAAATGTGTGGTGACGGTTTGAAGCCGTAAGTGTTACCTGGTGCTGGAAAAACTAATATTATTTCGTTGTTTGTGCTTCAGAGCTGTAAATTTTTTATAAACCACTCTGTATGCTTGACTTGATGCAGAGCAGATCTTCGAGAATTTCTCTGTATTAGGATCTTATCTGTTGATAAATCTATTTTTTAGAGTAATGGTTCCTCGAACAGACGATCCACAACGTTGCCACCCCAGAAATAATCCGTGCGCTTACGGTCAAATTTGCAAATTTAGTGCTGTTCTTCTGATTGAGATATGCTGCTATTCAGAAGCAAAATGTAATTAATTAATCTTTAAATATATTAAATTTTTCAAAGTATTATGAAACTGATTGGCTGAAGAGTTTTTTAAATGAAGTTTATGAACAGGTTAGATTTTATTAAAAGATTGCTAAGGTTTTTATCAAAAAACAGCGGTTTACAAACAGAAATCGAGTTTTTTTATTCTGTTTATGGTAAGGTGTTGAGGACCTTTCCTGGTGATTGCCGTGCGTAGTCTCATTAAAATTTGGTAGCCGCAAAAAGAGCAGTATGATGGCTATCACGGCATCTTTATACACTTATTATTTAAAAAATATACATGAAAGGAGCATTTTCTGATTTTTTTCCTTCTATTGACTTTTCTCTTCTCGGCTCTCTTTTCTTTTCTCCAGTTTTCAATTGAACGAATTTTTATGAGATTTCACTTTCTAAGCTTTTTCTTGAAACCTGCTGTTGCAGTTGGCAGCAATAATAGCTGCACTAATTTGTTTTTTTTTTCTATTTACTTTTTAGTAGGGAGTTTTGTATAGTATGCAAAGAGGATGTTTGAAAATTTTATTCTTTGCTGACAGCAAGTAATTTTAGCAACTTTATTGCAAAGCGTAAGACCTGTAATTGTTGACGGTTTGACTGCAGTAATATCAAAGAAGAATTATAAAGGTCAAGTAAACTGTAAGAAGGACGAACACTGCGGTTCTAAGAAAGAATGTTTTGAAGGGCAATGTAGATGCAAAAAAGGGCTAGCGTTATTTCGAAAAAATTGCTGTAAGTTAGCTTAATCTGTTCTGTTAATTACAGGCTTTGATTTAATGGTACTTCAGTAATTTTTTGTAGATCGCAAGTGTCCACATCCGTATTCAAATGTCAATCGTGTGTGCGTTCGTCAGTCAGGTACAGAAATTAGACAGTATGCGATGGCATATGATGGATAAGAAGAACATTTCCTAATTTAATAAACTCGTTTGGATTTTTTTTGCATTTGTCTTGCTGAGGCAAAACAAGTGCTCAACAATATTTCAAACTAACTGACTGCTTCTTTATATGCTATCTCAAAAAGGGAAGTCTGATTGAGAATTCGGGTCCTCAAGGAAAAAATACATTCTTTTCAGTGCTGGTTTTAGTTATGATCTTGTTGATCACTTTGCTCTCTGCTAATCCCGAACGATCTTTTTTCTCATAGATTTTGCGGGTTCCATGTTTACTTTGGTACTAATAATTTTTGTTTACTAACTCAGTATTGTTTCTTTATTAAGCTGTTACCACATCTATTCCACTGAATGTATTAAAATTGCCAATCGCTATTAGAATCGAAATAATCAAAGCAATGGCAGTAGGCTTTCCGTATTAAAACTCTTCGTGATATCAGTGGTTAATGAAGTTAGGGAAATATTGTTTTGCTCAAAGTGTTTGCCGGTTGCAGTTGTTGGAGCGAACTAAAAAAGGCAAAATTGACATTAACCGGATATTTGATAGAATGTTTCGCATAGTGTTTTATTCTACACTTTAATCCATCGGTATCAGTTGTAAACAAATCGACTTCGGGACCGGATTTATTTTTATGAAACAATTAAAAATGCTTTTAATGGTCACATTATTAATAATCAAAACTAGATTGCAGTTAAGATTGTCAAAGAGCTTAACGGGTTGTAAAGTCCGATCTGTAATGCAAAAAGAAATGTCTATTGTTGACAGGCAAAGATAATTGCTGTGTTGCAACAAATGATAACAAATTATAGTCTTTTGAATTTATTAACTTTTTTTGTTTCACGGTATTATATTGCGAAAATTTAAACTACTTTTTATTTTACTAAAATTAGACGGAAGAAGGTAACAAAAAACGCTTAGCAAATTTTGATTTTGGAAATTTTGGAAATATTTTGTAATTTTGACTGAAGTTATAAGAATTGGCGGAGAAAAGTGCAAACTCTGAAGTTTGGAAATTTTGTTGAACTACTTGCTTTTCGGTTGCTTCAAAAGTTGTATTTCAGTATAATATTACATTCCCACTTACAGTTATTACATTTTCGGTTAACCATACTGATGTTTTTGGTAGTTTTTTGTGTAACGTGGACAGCAAATTAATTGATTATCATATGATGTCAATTAGCGCATCTTTCTTATTTCCATGAATCCTCCGGTAGTATTTAGGGTGTCCAGGAAATACTGATAGATCATGACCTCTAGAGATACCCGAATTTGGAAATAGCGTAAATTAAATTGATAATCTTTATTCGTAAGCTGTTTCAGAAGTGTTGCTTCAAACCAGTGTCAAGCACACCTAAGTGACCAACTGGTGACAGCGATCAAAAGACTGTCATGAAACTGTCAGACTGGAAACAGTTAAGTAGTGGGTGTTTGATAAAATAAAAAGAAAAGAAAATTTTTATTTTATTTCTCATTCTTTTTTATCACAACTGTCGAGAATCTGTTCTAATGAACAAGAAATGAGTATTTAGAAAGGAAAAAAACATTCTTGTTACAAGGCAGACAAAAAGAAAAAACGGAAGACGTCAAATTTAAATTCAAATTCAAAAAGACATTAAAATGGCAGCAAAAAGAAAAGAAAGGATTAAAAAAACTTAGCAGTACTTAGCAGTAATAATAAATTTTTTTCCCTTCTTTTTTTCTTCTTTTTTCTTCCACTCTTTCTCTCTCTCTCTCTTCATCTAAAAAATTGTTAAAGTAGTATTATAAAAAAAACACACTCACTTTCACAAACACACAGACACA